GCCCCGGAGGCGGCCAGGCAGCCACCACACAGCCCCGGCCCCAGGGAGTCGGGGACCGCGGAGAGGCGCCCAGCTCCGCCCCAGCTCGCGGACCTCGCCCGCCACCGCCAGCAGCCAGCCTACCCCCGGCCCCTGCTGGGCGGCTCTGCTGAGGAGCCGGGCGGGGCTGCAATTCTCCCTGCATGCCCGCCCCCGCCCTAGAGGGAAACTAAGGCACTGAGGGCGCTCGGCGCTGTGCAGGGCCAGGGACCAGGAAAGCAGGCCCCGAAAACGAACGAGATGCAGGAAACTCCCCTCCCCACCCCGCCATCAGAGCTGAGGTGCCGTTCTGCCACCAGCTGGAGTCTCCGGGCCGTGGCTCCTTTTCCAAGGGGAATGCGATCGCTGTCAGCGCCCTCCTCCCCGCCGACCCCTCCCTGGTGTGAGATGCCACAGATTTAATAAAACACAGGACTATGTAGCGCTTTAAAGCCCAACAAGATGGTTTATTAGGTGAGGAGCTTTCGTGGGCCAGACCCACTTCCTCAGATCAAATAGTGGAAGAAAATTGGCACAACCACATATACCAAAAGATACAATTAAAACGTTTCCTTTGGTATATCTGGTCGTGCCAATTTTCTTCCACTATTTGAGCTGAGGAAGTGGGTCTGGCCCACGAAAGCTCATCACCTAACAAACCATCTTGTTGGGCTTTAAAGTGCTACATAGTCCTGTGTTTTGTTTCAGCTACACCAGACTCACACGGCTCCATTTCTATCACAGATTTAATAACACCTTCCCCCCTCCAGACAGGTTAAACTTGAAACAATTACCCATCACCGCCGACATGGCGGGGAGGCCCGCGCTGTAATGTTTTGCTTATTAAAGTAATTTCTCTCATGTAAATTCTCCCGCTAACACGCTGCAAACAGCATTAGGAAATAAATTATTTCCCCGTGATTCGATTTGTCAACGCAAAGCACCGGCAGCCGGCAAAAGGCGCTTGAAATATGTTGCCAGTCCAACGCCTGCACTTGTAAGTACATTGTGGCGCTGTAATGTTTTGCTTATTAAAGTAATTTCTCTCATGTAAATTCTCCCGCTAACACGCTGCAAACAGCATTAGGAAATAAATTATTTCCCCGTGATTCGATTTGTCAACGCAAAGCACCGGCAGCCGGCAAAAGGCGCTTGAAATATGTTGCCAGTCCAACGCCTGCACTTGTAAGTACATTGTGGCCTGCCCTTGTAAGTACATGGGGGCGGGGTGGCGGGCTCCCACCTCTCCGTAGCCCCGGGGAGATGATGGATGGGTGGGCGGAGGGGGAGGTGAGCGGGCGGAGGCGGCGATGGGGAGGGGGATGGAATTGTGTTTAATAACAAAATCTGTATGCAAGCCGGCATCCCAGGCTAAGGATGAGTGATCGGCAGCCAGAAAGTATTAAAAAGCCTCGCCAAACAGCTGCTGACAATAGAACAAGACATATCAAATGAGATCTACTTCAGGAACATTAATATACCCGCGCACACACGCACCCCGGCGCGCGCACGGATCCGCACACGCCGGCCCCTCCCTTCCTCAGCGCGGCAATATGGGAGACATCAATAAATTTTGATGAGACTTTTCGAAGCTCACCGCGGTACGAGATGTGACAAAAAAGCAATGTGGCTGTCATGTTCGCTTTGTCGGGGACACGTTAGCCCCAGATGCTGCGCCGCCGTGGCAGCGGGGAGAAATTGAATTTGGCCGGCTTTAATCTGCCTTGATTTGGCAGATGGCTGGGTGTTATGAAATGAGAAGGAATGGAGGAAGGTGGCTTTGCCGCAGGCAACAAACCTCCACAGCCCCCACCACACCCGCCCGCACCCCTCTTTGGGCTGCCGAAGGGGGGGAGAGGAGGAATTATTTGTCACAATCAAGTCAGCAAAGTGTGTGCTCCCTACCACCAGCACACTCTGTGTGCACTGGGGAGACATGGGGACGAGGGGTCACGGGGTTGCAGGCAGGACAGGGCTGTCCCCGTGAAACAAGGACTTTATAAACTGGAACCATCAGAGAAGTTCTGCAATTTAGAACTAACACAGAGGGATAATTCCAGTCCCCTGCAAGCAAATCCCATTCCACTGACTTCGGTGGAGTCACACCCATTTACACCAGCTCCAAATCTGGCCCTGGATAACAGGCAATCAGCTTGAGTCTTGATTTTCAACTTTATCTTCTTATTTAAAGGTGTGAAACAACTTCTCCCCCTTTTAGGTAAATATTATATTTTTTACAAACAAGTTTCATTCCTTCTGCTGTGAATGGCACTTGGAATGCTTCCACCGAAACGCAAGACGGAGAATCTTATTTATTTTTCATCAGTGATCCCCTTGTTTGGCTCTTTGTCGCCTTCCCCCTTGCACAAGGAGAGACGATTAGTCCATTTCACACTTTTCTTTTTGTAGTCAGTCTGATTTGCTGGCCCCCTAGCTCCACCGAGGCTTGGAGTTGCAAACACGACCGACCGGCGTGGGGGAGGAGGAATAAATCTTTGATTGAAAAAGTTGTTTCTGTAACCACTGGCTCAGTGTGTTGCCTTCGCCCCTCTTGCCCACAAAGTCCACACAGAATAACAATTACTCAGCCCTCAAGGGATTTGACTCACAGGTCACTGTAGACACCGGACAGTCTTTTGTGGATTTCACCAAGCGTTGACTCAAACCTGTACAGCTGAAAGGCTGAAGCGCAAACCCAACAGGTAACTGGAGGGTTGTTACATGTTCACTGGACTTTGGTGTACATTGGCCTGGCAAAGTGTCTGTTTGTCTTAGTTTTTGTAAGTCTTCCAAGTAAACCCCTCATTTTGCCCCAAATGTAGTCCTGCCGCACGAGTCCTTTTAATATTAAAAATGAAAAAGAACGAAAATAAAGGGAGGGAGAGCGAGCCAGATTTGGAATGGCCATAACCTTTCATGTGTCAGGGTATAAGCCAATCTTGAACTCGTGGGATTAGGAAAAGCTTTCTCTGAGGAAGTGGGTTTTACCAACAAACGCTCATGATGCTAAAAGGGTGTTACAAGGTGGAGGGAGAAAAATTGTTCTCGTTGGCCTCTGAGGACAGGACAAGACGCAATGGGCTTAAACTGCAGCAGGGGAGGCTTAGGTTGGACATTAGGAAAAACTTCCTGCCTGTCAGGGTGGTGAAACACTCGAATAAATTGCCTAGGGAGGTTATGGAATCCCCATCTCTGGAGATATTTAAGAGCAGGTTAAACACATGTGTCAGGGCTGGTCTAGACAGTGCTTGGTCCTGCCATGGGGGCAGGGGACTGGACTTGATGCCCTCTCGAGGTCCTTTCCAATTCTCGGATTCTTTGATGCTCTATATTTTGGTAAGTTTCCAAGGTGCCCCAGGACCACACATTGGTCGGGAACACATTGTGGCATATATACGCCCGCGGTGGTGTTTCTCCCCGCTAGCCTCTGTTGGAGGCAGGACCCCAGAGTTGATGCATCTTGTTTCTGGCTGAGTTTGCACTTCCCTAGCTCCTCTACATAATAATCCGCAATCAAGGCTTTGAAGCACCGTGCGGCTGTGCTCCTTCGCGGGCGGCGGGCGCTTCCAGGCAGTGAGCTATTAAGAGAAGCTGGCGATGGGCTGAGAATCGAAAGGCCATCAGCAAAGAGAAACCTTCCCTTCCATAAACACCGCAGACAAATTAAAACGGGTAAAAGGGAAATCAAGACCTTTAAAGTTCAAACACTTTTCGGTGCCTTTTAAAGTTTTTCGCTCTAGGCTCTGGTGGAGAGCACAATCTTTGGAGACCTCGGAATTCTCTTTAATCACTAAAGCAAGTCTGCAGTGGTCTGAAATGATCACACATTTACATAGTAATAACCCCGACCCTCCCCACATTATTTCATGGCTAGCATATTTCCACTCGCCGAGTGATCCATGTGTTTTAAATTATAACCTGTACATAGGAAATTAGTTACTAAGTACGATATTCCCTGGCTCCTCTGACACTTCTAATTAAGGTGATTTACACAGAATTATCCTTTGAAATAAAAAAATGGTGTTTTGCTAGCTAATAAAATATAATTACTACCCGTTTTTATAAGTTACAGTTAGTTTTAATCTATTTGGGGAATTGTTTATCTAGTTCATTACCACAAAACAACTTCTGTCTCCTTCGCACAAAAAATTA